AATAAATAAATAAAAGGAATTGTGGAGTGAGAGGATCCTCTGATCCAGCAAAACAGTTTTCCTATTCTTATGACTCCTTAATACTGCAGAAATGCTTCCTCCATTGTCCCCACTGTAATTCTAGCAGCAAATGTATTTTACATAACCTATCCACTTTTGTCCTACTTTAATTCCTCCCCCATAAGGAGAGGCAAGAATTGACAGAGGTGAGTGCCTGCTTCATAATAAAGCTAAAATATTAAATATGCAAAGAAAGAGGGGTAGGTTAGTGTTTTTAATGCAGAAGGAGAAAATGATTAGTTAAATTTTACTGACTTCCATAGGAGGCATTGATTGAGTACTAAGGAACATGTATGGGAAAGTTTTTCCACTTCAGCAAATGACAGCATAGAGAATGAATTTCCTTTTTTAGTTTATGAGATAATTCCCTGGAAGAGATTATAGAAGAACCGTGTAAGCAAAGGTTATATAATGTGAATTATTTTTTCATTCCAGTGATGCAATGAAGATTCATAAATCACTGTTTTTCAAACTTTCTCCACTTGTGGACTACTAAATCAATATTTTGAAATCAAGGACTGCCCAATTACAGAAACACCCCCTCTATATTTTCTTCTATAAAAGTAAGAGAAATTTTTCAGCAAATAAGATCATGAGTATAGTAGCATTTGTGTATGCCTCCCTGCCCTCCCTGTTTAAAAGCCATTTTAAACTAATTTTTCAACCAAAAACATAATACAAAATTAAGTGTGCCTTTAACTCTTGGATTATTTTGTATATTTTATGCCATAATACTAATTTTTAGCACAAACATGATGAATTGTTCTTCTTTAGAAATCTCTGAATACTAAAGGGATAGGAGCAAGTAGATCTCCACCCTAAGTCCTTTATTAAGATATTCACTTACGTATTTCCTATTTGTATTTTTCTTTTTGCATTGCTTGTGCGAGATCATAATTCCAGTTCACATCCACTTATAGACTCACAGTCAGAACTGCACTTGAGATCTATTCACTATTGTCAGTTTTCTGAATTCTGATGTTCATGTTGCTACTTCTATCACCTGTATGCTTCAATTAACTTTTTTTCAGCCACTTACTCATTTTCATGAACTTAGCTGACTTGCAGGGAATCTAGGGAGGTGGGCACTGAAGTGGTTAGCAGATTTCGGTTTAGGCTCAACTGGCACTGAGCATGATGGGCTGCTATAGCTGACAACCTGATAGACCTCTGCAGATCAATGGTTATCTGAGGACCACAATATGAGAATCGCTGATCTAGGCTTTTTTGGTGCTTTTAAGAGATTATGTTCCACTCTGTGCTTCTGTTTTCTTTTAGAAACAAGACAATAGATAGAAGAATAGAATAAACCTGCAGTTAATATATTACCTTTTGTGCAGTGAGAATTAGGATGATGGAGGTAGGGAAAATATGTACCTTCAGGGATAGATTAGTTTGACAATTAAGAGATCTGATTTCTCTTTCCTACTTATGTCGCTGGATTAATTGTTCTTTCATACTAAAATTGCAATTGAAATAATTGTCACAACTAGCACTTTACTGTTGAAACATTAAAATATTGTACCACTAATGACTTATAGAGTGCATCTTCCTCTAAGTTCCAGAGATTTGTTATGTTATCATCATCATTGTTAGTGATTATATGAATCATCTCAGTAACATACAGGAATATTGAGTTATTTTTTTCTGAGTAGTTAGATGATCTATATTAACTATCATATATGATCTGAATTAGCATGTACATGATTATGCTGTACATGGGGTAAAATATTGTGAGTGGTAGCACAGTTTAAATGATTGTGAAATGATTAAGAAGCTGATGGCGCTCTTGTAAATTGAAGTAGGAAAGTTTTATATTAGCTGTCAATTCATATGATTTATTGGGGCAGTGTGGTTGTTGGCCCCCTGTAGGATTTGGGGTCTGGTTTTTTTTATGTTAATCTGTTTCATTTTATTTATTTATTTGCTTTTAAAGTATAAAAGTTGTTTGGAGTTGAGTGATCTCTAAGTCATGTAAATAAATATAAATAAATAAACATACATTTCTTGTATATCTTTGAAGATCCTAAATACTGAATCTTTCAGTAAAGCCTGGAAGCCTGATTTAGTTGCCAGAGACCCTGCAGGAATTATCACCAAATTATCATTTTTAATACGAAAAAAATGAGCATTACTAAATCTTCTGAGAATAATCATATTAACTCTATTTTAATGGGAAAAAAAACTTTTTATCTTGGTTCTACATACTTTTTGACATGTAGCCATAGACATCCAGACTGATGACACATGTTCATGATATCGGGACATAAACCTGATGGTGTGTACTTGTGTCATGTTTTAGGACATAAGTAAATAAATAAATCAAATGATTTGCATCATGATGTTGTGACACGTTTCATCATTTGTTCTCACTTGTTCCTTTGGGAGTGTGTATCAATTTCCAGGATGTAATCTTAAGACCAAATGCAGTGGCCAAAATAAAACCAAAAAACAGTCTTGTTGTAGAAAAATGAATAGGAATGGTAGTAAATTACAGAAATGTTATTCTAACATTTATAGCCTTAATGCCTCCTCTTTTTTCTGAAATGCTGTGAATGTAAAGTTAACTGCTCAAGCTTCATCAATTTCAAATTATACTTATCCAAAAGATCCCTGCACCAAATTCTTTTAATTTACCCATTAATGTTTCGATTCCCTTTAAAGGATCTTCTAAAACCAACACCAAGTCATCTGCAAAACTCTTAACTTGTATGTCTCTTTTTTAACCTTTATTCCCATAATTGTTTAATCTTGTCTTATATCTCTATTCAGTATTTCAAGAACCAAAATAAACAAGAGAGGGGACAATGGGTAGCCTTGTCTTGTTCCTTTTTGTATCTTACATAGTTTTGTTAGATCTCCATTAACAATTATTTGTGCTTTCTGTGAAGTGTAAATCGATTTTACCCATTTTATAAAATTCTCTCCAAAATTCATATCTTTCAATACCTTAAACAAGAAGGCCCAGCTCAAATTGCCAAAGGCCTTCTCTGCATTTAAGAAGATCAATGCAACTTGTTTTTCATTATGTTGCTCGAAATGTTCTAAAATGTCCAGCACGTTTCTAACATTGTCCTTTAACTGTCTTCTAGGTAAAAACCCACATTGATCCTCATGAATAAATTCTTGCAAAATTATTTTCAATCTATCAGCTAGAATTGTTGTGAACAACTTTGTAGTCATTATTCAGTAATGATATCAGTCTATAGTGTCTTGTTAAATTCAAATCTTGTCCCTCTAGGTATTAGTGGTATATTATCCTGTTTCCAACTCTCTGGCATCTTTCCTCCCTGTAAGATAGACTTCATTATGTTTTGTAGAAGTTGTAAAAGTTCATCCTCAAAGCATTTATAATAAACTCCTGATAATCCATCTGGTCCAGGCACCTTTCCTGGTTTAATCTTTTTTATAGCTTCAGAAACTTCCCCATATTGTTATAATTTGTCTCTGTTCCTCTGTAATCTTCAGTAAATTTTGTTTCCTTAGATATTCATCTATTTTCTCTAAAGAAATGTCATTTCCTTTATACAAATTAGAATAATATTGATAAAATGCTTTCTGTATGGCCATATTGTCCATTAATACAGTGTTTTCCTCTTGTAATTTCAATACTCTTTTCTTTTCCTTTTGGTAATTTATATGCCAGTCACTTTTCTGGTTTATTTGGAAACTCAGAAGTTTTTTGCTTTGCATAAGTCATTTTTATTTCCATTTCTTTTACTGTTAACATAGATAACTGTTACTGTAATAGTGTAATCTGTTGGGAAATACTAATATTCTCTGGGAATTTCTTTAATTCCTCTTTTTTCTTTATCTCATCCAAAATAACTTGTGTTTTCTCTTGACTCTTCTTTTTGAGTTCATTATTATTTTGTATAAAATGACCTCTGATAAAAGCTTTACTTGCATCCCAAACCATTCTTAAATCAGTGCCTTTGCTTAAATTATCTTCAAAAAATTCTTTTAGTTTCTTTTTAGGTTCCTTGCTTATTTCTGTTACATTTAATCTCCATCTAAAGGAACTGGATTTCCTTTTATAAACCAAACTTACAGGATTATGATCTGAAAAAGTCTTTGGTAATATCTCCATTTTAGAAACTTTAGTAGACAAGGTCTTTGAAATTCAAATCATATCTATTCTTGAAAAGTATGTTTTTCTGAAAAATAGATATACTCTCTTGAGTTGCTATTTTTCTGGCTCTGTATATCAACCAGCCCTAAATTGTCCATCAAATTTAAAAAAAAAACAACTTTTGGTAATTTGTCTTGAGTGATTTTAATGTTTTTCTCAGAAGTTCTATCCAGTTGTGGGGAAATCACTCCATTCTAATCTCCCATCAAACACCAATTTTCATAAGAGAAAACTATTAGTCTCTCCATAAGTTGTTTATATTGTCTTCATTGGGGCATAAATTCCCAACATCAAAGTCTTAGTCCAATATAAACTAACTTCCACCCCAACAAATCTACCATACTCATCAGTCAGTACAAGTTTTGGTTTAAGTTGGGGATTAATAATATTTATTTTATTTATTTATACATTCGATTTATTGTCCGCCCATCTCCCCCCAATGGGGAA